TCATGACCTGAGCGGAAGGCAGACGCTTAACGACTGAGCCACCCAGGCGCCCCGTCTCTGCATATTTTTGAAGAAGGGTGGAGGGAAGGAGTTGATGAAACAAAACAATCCTCTAAAGTTATCAACATAATAGTAATAACCTAAGCCTTTTGTGGTTTTATAAAAAGAAAGCCCTTTTGCTAACATTATTTCATTTGAGATAATAACTAGTGTTGTTTTTGCCATATTACCGAGTAAATAAGCACCTAAAGGCTCAGTGACTCCACAGAGCCAGGAAGTGGCAGGGCTAGGACTTAAAACCACCTCCTTGGGCTTCAAGTCCTATACTCTTTCCCAGTATATGGCAACTCTACTCTGAGGGCTCAAGCCAAAACTTTGGAGTCATCTTTGACACTTCTTTTTCTCTTACACCCTACACCTACCCCAATGGTAAATCCTGGTACTGTTCTATTTTATAGCATATATTTTATATATCCTGTTATATTTTACTTCAACATGTATCCAGAATCCTACTACCTCTCCGGCCACCATCCTGGTTCAGGCCACCATCATTTGGTCTGGATTATTACAGTAGCCTTTCAGTTGGCTTGCTTGTTTCTAGTCTTCAACTCCTCCTGCCCCCCAACCTAATCTGTTTCTAATCCAGCAGCCAGAGCAATGTCCCTTCTTGGCTCAGAACCTACCACTGGCTTCCAGTATCATTCAGGGTAAAAGCCAAAGTATTTTTCAACTTATATGACCTCACACAATCCGCCCACCCTCTTACCTCACAGAAGCAACACCTGCCTTCTTGCCTGAACACATTGACTCTACTTCTGCCCTCAGACGTTTGTTCTTGCTGTTCTTTCATCTTTTTTTTTTTTTTAGATTTTATTTATTTGACAGAGAGAGAGACAGCAAGAGAGGGAACACAAGCAGGGGGAGTGGGAGAGGGAGAAGCAGGCTTCCCGCTGAGCAGGGAGCCTGATGTGGGGCTCTATCCCAGGACCCTGGGATCATGAGACCTGAGCCGAAGGCAGATGCTTAACGACTGAGCCACCCAGGTGCCCCAAAAAATCTCTTAAAACTTTTGTTATTGAACAAAAAGAAGCAATTTCTAAAACAATGAGTACATTTCCCTATTTTACAAATAGCCCTTTATCTTCTCATACTTCACTGGAAATTTTAATTTCAAAATCAATTTGTGTTGAATTATCTAATATAGTTGGAAATGAACATGGTTATTAGGACCAAAAGATTGATAATCTGGAAAATCTGATGCCATAAGATAGCAGTAACTAATAACAAGCAGGTTGCCCCTTCCTACAGCAAGTGACAGTGACAGCATCTTAGAAAACAGGACAAGAACTAGTTAGGGAAGGCTCTCGAATTCAGGAGTTTAGTGTGTAGTGTATAAATTGAATGCTTTCCAGCTTGTCCCTCAGTGTCTGGATTTCCTCTCTCAAAATACTCTAATCAACTAAGAGTGCCCTTTAAAAAAAAAAAGATTTTATTTATTCATCTTAGAGAGCATGTGAGTAGAGAGGGGGAAGAGGGAGAAAGAATCTGAAGCAGACTCTGCACTGAGCATGGAGCCCAACGTGGGGCTCAGTCTCACGACTACAAGATCATAACCTGAGACGAAGTCAAGAGTCTGACGCTGAACCCACGTACCACCGAGGCACCCCAAGAGTTCCATTTTTTGATACTGTTGTTTCATGAGTTGGAAATTAATTTCAGTGTTGTTTAAATAATTTTAATTCAGGTGAGTGAAATGAATCCCTGATATTGAAGTTTAAGTTCAATTTTATCTTTTTACATAGAGATTAAAAAACATAAATAGGTTTGAAAATTGTTAGGAAGAGTTTAGAATCTTTGTGACAATTATTTTGAATGCTCATCAGAATAAGTGTGACTCTCTACCTATTTATGCTTGCTATATTTTGGAGAGGAAATTACTATAAAAAGTGGCCTTTCCATTCAGGAATCTAGGAGTGATAATTTAGCACTAAAGGGAATTTGTTGTAATAATAATATAAATACTTGCTCATGAGCTCACACCAGCACTGTTATAATTAACATACTTGGTCAAATAATTCTTTTAATCAATAAATATTAAACTCCTGCATTCCAAGCAGTGTGTCAGACCTGGGAATACAGCATACAGAGGTGAGTGTATCATATTCCCTCCCCTTAAGAAGTTCATTTGTTAGGCAGATATGCAAACGTGTGAGTGTTATCATGGTCAGGAGCAGAGTGTGTGACAGCAGAGGGGAGAGCAAGCTTGGATGGGTGGCCATGCACTCACTGAATTTGGGAAGGAATGCTGGAAGAAGAGAGCAGGTTTGAATAGATAGTTTTTTTTACATTGAAAGAACCAACTCCTGGAATCATGGCTCTTTTTTATATGTGTTCTTTGAATTATTTCAGTGCATAGGCTCCTCCCATGAGAGCTCTATTCATGTACATTTTTGTGCAGTGTCTTCTTACCGTGATATGTTGTACAAACAGATGTGTTCAACAAAGCTTCCAGTGTAATTAGTAGCAAGACTTGATAAGAGAAGTGGTTCTTCTAACTTGAAGACCTGCTTCCATCTCTTTCCTTTGCCTCTACTGTAGTGTTATAAGTCCTATAGATGGGAAGTCCATGGAGTCTATAACAAGTGTGAAGATATTCCATGGATCGGAGTATAAAGCAAATGGAAAAGTCATCAGATGGACAGAGGTAAGGAAATGAAACTTGGCATCCTTGATTCCCTTTGAGCACAACTTTTTGCAAGGTTCAGAGACACACTGTGGGCTGATTCTGGAGAATAAGAAGAGAAAATGTCTCTGTTTACCTTCGATACTCCAATTCCCTCTGGCCTATCTTAGCTCTCCAGGAAGAAATGCCACCGAGCATAACCTGTAGCAATCTGATTTCTCTTACTTTTTATGAATGAGCTTTTAGAGATTTGTTTGGATTAGAATTCAAGAAGGATGCTTCTCTGAGTAGTATATACCATCTTTGCTGTATTCTTCAGAATGCTGTACTCACAGTTAAAAGTATCTTGGATAACACAGTCTTTAAAAAATAGGCTTATTTCACCAATAAGAAAACTAAAGCTCAGAGACTCAGTACCTTGTCCGAGATTACAAGGCAAACAAGTAAGGGTAAAGTTCTGCTTCAAACCCAGATCCAGCCAACTCCCAAGCTCTTTTCCACTGTACGTTCCTTTACCTGAAAGCTGTATGAGAGGCTAACTGGGAGTGAGAGGATCAGGGCAGGGACCCTGTATGCGTGTACATCTCAGACAAATCAGGAAGTTTATTCTCTGAGAATAAACAGGTAAGTTGTAGGTCTCTTAATTTGTTTTGAACCTGAGTTATACTCCTCCATAAAATAAAACATTAAATTATAAGACTTCTAGAATTCCTTGCAGCTTTAAAAGTCTTAATTTAAAAAAAAAAAATCTGTGACTTCTAGCTTTTCCATTTTACACACAAGGTAATTCAGGCCAAGAGAGGTTCGATGCTACCTAAGTTCACACAGCTGGTTCATGAGAGCAAGAAACTAGAACCTGGTTCTCTATTTCTTGAGCTTTTGTTCCAAATAACTTACCCTTCGTACCACCACCAGGCTCAGTGTTTTCATATTGCAGCTCAGTGGTCTTAGCAGCTTGCTTTGTAATGATTGTCCCTTTGACACATTTCAAGTAGTGCAGTCTGGACCCTGTGAAACTCGTTATCTCTTACAAGTAGTTTGACCTCTTCTCCCTCCCTTTTGCTCCCCAGTAATCCAGTGAGGTAACAGTGTGACCCATCTCATTTGCATAATGAGGAAACAGGCGCAGAGGCCTGGCATAGCAGGGGCCAGAGGTCTTCTGATGCCCACTGCAGAGTTCTACTCATCATTTCATGATGCTTTTCTCACTAGTGCACTAGTGCTTCTGGGCTGCCCCCTTTGTAGTACTCTTAGCGTAAGCCACCAAGCAGTAAGCGAGGGGGTGGTATATATAAGCATTGTGTATTTGCGTATCTGTATCTTCTATATTATGCTTTTATATCATTTACAATAACCAGGGAGGGCAGGGGCTGTTTTAAAGGTGTAATTGGGCATTAAGAAGTCAAAGGACTTGCTCATGACCCTCCTTTATGTGACTAGGACTCATGTCTCTCAGTCCCAATTTTGCTGTGCTTCTCATTCTGTCTAGTGCACACAGTTCTCGCCTCAGCAGTGGCATGGCCTTGTGACAAGAAAACTCTGTGATGAGAGGCAGAAGACTTAGATTCTTGGATTGGCCTTGCCTCTGAGGACTTCTGTGCACTTGAGCAAGTCACTTCTCTTCTCTGAGTGATCTGTAACATGAAGGGGTTGAGTCACATAATCTTGTAAGAGCTGTTCTCTTAGATTCCAAGATGATTTTCACAGAAGATTGTCCACATAAAAGGATTACCTTTTAGAAATACACAATGCTAAATGTAAGCCTTTTCTGGTTCTCAGAAGAGCATACCATTATGACCATGGCTGAGACCAGGCAGGTAGGCAGGTCAGGTCTTCTGTACATCTTAGGGGATTAGGGTGCTCATACACAGTGGGCTCATGCAGTGGTTTTTTCCCCACATCTCCTGGGCACAAGGCTAAAAGTCTCTTCTGTTTGGGGAATAGGTGTTTTTCCTAGAAAATGATGACCAGCATAGTTGCCTGAGTGATCCTGCAGATCATAGCCGATTGACTGAGCATGTTGCCAAGGCTTTTTGCCTTGCTCTCTGTCCCCACCTTAAGCTTCTGAAGGAAGATGGAATGACTAAACTAGGACTACGTGTGACACTTGACTCAGACCAGGTAAGGAGAGTCCTAGGTAGCCTTGGAAGCCGGGCTTGAGCAATGTCTGTATTTTCTGACATGTGAATTTTCCTGCATCGACCCAGAGAACCTAGGTTCTCTGGGTCTTCTGGCCTTCCCTCTATCAGTAATGTCCCCAGATATGCTGCCTGGTGAGACTCTCTGAACCATTTGAACCTTGGCTTCCTCACCGGAATGTCTTCCAAGGACTCAGTTGTAAGTGTGGGGTAAGAAGGTTGGAAAATTGCCTTAAGTGTGGGGTAAGGAGGGGGAAGTGTGTGAGGACCTGCCACCCCTGTGTGGATGGCATCAGTGCTCCTCTTTGAGACTCCCCAGTTCCACCCTTCAGGAATTGTTCTGCTGCCCTGAGCCAGCAGGTCCCATGCTGCCCCGCAGCCTATTTTCTTAACCTAGCTGCAGCAGGTTTCAGACCTCTGCACCTCTCAGTCCTTAAGGTTTTTCTGTCAGCATTTCCGTGCTAGTCAGTGGATGAGGACTGGATCTATTTTTCTGTTTTCCTGTCAGCTTGGGTCTCCTGTGGCCAGGCTTCCCTTCCTGGCTTAGTTAGTATTTTTGTATGCTGTTTGTAATAACAATCCACCCCCTCCCCCAATTCCTTGTCCCAGTATCTGTCTCCTGTGGCCCTGTATTCTAATCTCTGTTTTTTTTGGATTTTGGATCCCTGTGACATGTCCCACTGCTCATGCTTTAATGCAGAGTTGTGTCACTATCGGGGAAAATGTGAAAGGTTATGATTGGGCTCCACTTCCTGCCTAGTCATCAATCAATGTACTTATTTTCTACTTAAGGTCTTGACCAATTCGGAACTGATAAGCATATCAGGGTAATACAAATGAGGTCTCCTGGTCCTTTCTCGAATGATACTGATAACCTGGTTGGAGAATTGCCTTATGTAAAACAATTAAAGAACAAGCATTTTTCTGCTAAATGTGTGAACCTCTTGAGGGCAGGGGCCCTGTTACATTCATCTGAATCCATGTATGTGTGGGTGCTCAGAAAAAGGCTTGTGGGTGGATGGATGGATGGGAAAACAGATGTTCAATTCCTGCTGTTAGGGAGTTGAACCTTGTATATTTCTCATTTTAATTTCCACAACCAAAGGTTTAGGTATTATTTCTGACATTCTGTACCTCTCTGTGCTGCCTCCCGCCGCCTGCCCTTTCCTGGGAAACTAAGGCCTTAACAGGTTAAGTGTCTTACCTAAGGTCTTATAGCTACCCACTGGCAAAGTTAGGCTGAATACATGACAGGATGATAATGACAATTCCGGGAAGAGGAGAACCTTGTGTTCACTGCTAGATGTGTCTAACCCGTGGCTAAGGACATCTCCTTTCTAGCTCAGCCTCCTTGGCCCTCAGCCTTCTCCGTCCAGTAACCTGTCATCCCCCTCTCTCTCTGTGCCGTAGGTTGGCTATCAAGCAGGGAGCAATGGCCAGCCCCTTCCCTCACAGTACATGAACGATCTGGACAGCGCTTTGGTGCCGGTGATTCATGGAGGGGCCTGCCAGCTCAGTGAGGGCCCCATCGTCATGGAACTCATCTTTTATATTCTGGAAAACATCGCATAGACAGGACTTCATTGTTTTTCTGTTCAGACCTGTTGCAACAGCAGTCATACCCAAATCATTTGCACTTTAGAACTGGAAGATTAAGCTTTTGTTAACACTATTAAATGGGGGGGTGGGGTGGGAGTGGGGGCAGGGGTGGGAAAGGGTGGTTGGGGGACAGATGTTCCATAATTCTGAGTCTTCTATGCATTGTCCACCAGGAAGATCTGGGCAGCTTCTGTTACTGCACAAGTTATGCTAGCCTTGCCGCTAATCCCCTTCCGTTACTGTTTAGACAAAATTCCTGCTCCTCTCTTTTAAGATTTACTTATGGTCTTGTGCTCAGAAATGCTCAAATGGGTACAACCATCACCAACGATGGGGTTGGGAGGGCAGAGGGAAAATAAAAAAAGCATTGGTCTTGCACTCTTTGTACAGATTTGATGTAAAAAAGAATTCCACGTTGATTTTGTCCCACTTACATCACAGTGACTTCAAGCAGAATTCACACTTAGATTTTTTTTATCAGCTTATTCACTGAAGTGAATCAGAGACCCAGTGGATTATCTCTTCTATCCAAGGAAGGGCAACTCAGTGTAAGTGAGGTCACTTGGATAGCAGAGCTGAATTCAGGATTGCTCAGGATCTGCCTGAGTGAATGGCAGGTATTGAATTGGGTCTTTCTGTGAAAACTGACAGAATACACTCAAGGCATTTTTAGTTCTACACTAGAGGTATTTAAAAAGACTTTTTATTGAGAAATAATTTAAACTTCCAGGAAAATTGCAAATACAAAAAAAGCCTATGTACGCTTTACCTAGATTCACCTATTGCTCACATATTAATATTTTGCCTCATTTGCTTTAGCTTTCTCTCTCCATAAAAAAATTAAGGCATTTGAGAGTAAGTTGCATATATCATAGTTCTATACTCGTAAATGTTTAATTCCTAAAAATGTTCTCCTGCATAACTGCAATTTCAGTCAATTTAATATTAACAGGATTCTTGAACCTAGCATCTGTCGAGTCATGTCCTTCAGAGCATTTTCCCTCCAGTAAAGCTTCCAGCCTAGGATCAGACTCAACGGGTAGCTGTCCTGACTCACCTTTATGTCATCAATATTTTTGGTGAGTATAGGTTTTCCCACCCTATTTTTTAATAGAAAATGCCTCATTTTGTGCTTTCTCGTAATTAGAATCAGTTTATGCATTCTTGGCATTCTTTAGCAGTTATACTTGGTCATCTGTAAGCAAAAGCCCTTCCTTCTTTCCTATTTATTCATTTAATTTTCATTGTGGACTCATGGATCACTTTTTGAGTAGCTCTAATTCATTATTTTGGTGCTCAAATGGTCTCAGCTTTGGCCAGAGAGAGCCCCTTCGAGCTAGCTTCTGCATCCTTGTGATGTGTTCCTACCATTTTCTTTTTGAACACTTCCTTTTCCGGCCTAAGAACATGTTCCCAGCTCATCTTGTCTACCCTGCCTCAGCTTTCGAATCAGCCATGGTTTCTTTTAGTGGGAGCGGTATTAGAAACCAAGATTTGGTTTACCTTTGATAGATGTAATATATGTGATCATTTTCTCTTGTTAAAAATTTCCTTTAGTCACGGACCAAATGGATTTCACAACTCAGCTGGAAAAATACGGGTCTAGGTAGGGCACCTCCCTTGTCACTGCCATCTTCTCGAAGCCCTGGCCAAGCGGGAGTCAGTCCATCTGCACTAAAAGCATAGCTCCAAGAATCCCCTAGAAGTTAATGCAGGCCTCTGGGACAGTGAGAGTCTGCTCTCCAACGGCTAGAGTTGGGCTTAGCACTTGACAATCACAGGCTGTGGAACTACAACACACAGCAGTTTTCCAAATGGAGACCCAGAGACCTGGCCTTGTGCATGTGTTTAGCTAAGTTCATCCCTCTTCCGGGGTGGTGGGAATCCACATTCTACAGTCTTTGTTGATGGTAGCTGCAGGGATCTGTGACTGTGACCTTTCCCATAGACTCAGAGGTACTCAGAACTTCTAAGGGAAAGAAAAGCAGATGCACACAGCACACCAACTTGTAAGGACTGAGCCCCGGAACCACCACCCGCCAAACCTGACAGAAATAGGAAACACTTAATAGGGGCGTGTGTTTGGGGTGTAACACCCAGTATGGTCTACCTGGATCTTAGAAGTTTAGAGTTTATTTTCCTATATGAGTTTATCTTCATGCTCAGTACATTTTGCAATTGTATCTCTTTCTTCTGGATCAGTGCAAGCTTTTGAATTCTACCAAGGACAAGCTCTGGCCCTGCATAGTCAAGTCCATTCTCAACTGTATAAACTATCCTTTGTTTTAGTAAAATCATCTTGTGGAGTTGAGCATAAAGTAACCAAAGCTGGTTTACTTTTTTCCCTTGTTCTATGTTTCTATATATTGTACACTGTAAGAACGATATAAAGTGGAGGGCTGGACCCGCGCATTTCTAAATAAGTGAAGTATTTCTAGAACATAAAGATTGAGATACAGAGATCCTTACAAAGAAAATAATTGCCATTCTGGTAACTTACTAAATTTTTTTAAAAATATGGATTAATTCTTATAAAATGTTAGGCAATGTAGGTTCTCCATGTATTTTAGCAACACTTTCTGAGCACCTGCTGGTCTCCAGGGCTACAGAAATACAGGACTTTGCCCTGTAAGTACCCATCTGGTGTCTCCCCTCATCCACTGTGGTTCCTGAATGCTGGTGGGCCCAAACTTTCCAAATGAACTTTTAGCATAAAACTATTCCCTGGGGAATAATTTATGCATCTGATGTGTTTCAGTCATCAGGCAATCTGCTGAACATTGTTTCTATGTTTGTGGTAGTGATTTCTATTTTAATTATGTAATGAGATTTTTAGGGAGTATGTGGCCAGAAGGGCTGAAGAGTAGAGCAGGAATGATAATGCCCATTTTAGAGGCTGGGAACCTGAGGCCCTCTTAGGGAGGGAGCTGGACCAGGTGGAAGCTCTCTGGCTCTACCAGTTTCAGCCCCACAGTTTCATCAAGAGCATTCTTAAGGGACAAGATCTTTTAGGAGCTACCCACAAATATTTAGGAAACATTCTCAGAATTTGGAAGTAACAATGCGGGTTTCACAATGGTACTATAAGAAAGGAAAATGATTGTTAAAGTCACAAAATATTTTGCCCTTTTAATAAGATAAATTTCTAAAAAAAAGAAAAATGATAAATTTCTCCTGTATTTTATTCAGTTCACAAATTCTGAAGAATGTATGTATGTCTTGCACTAGGAAGAGAGAATTTAAAATGTGAAGTTATTTGGGTTGTGACCTGTTCCCAACTGCCCATGAGTCACAGATCTCTGATGTCTGGTTGCTGCATTAGGACAGATCTTAGGACAAGGAGGCTGGGCAGGCTCCTCCCACTAGACGTGACCCCTGCATGCTTTGGCTGCAACAAAGGCCTTTTAAGAATCTGTTTCCAAGTCCAGTGGGCGGCTTTGTCTTGCCTTTCTCAGCCTGGAGGTTCTGTTTTCCAAAAGCAAAGGGTAGTAAACAGACTGAAGTTGAACAGGTTGTGAAGGGCAATCTTTGAGGCACAGGAAACTATCAAATTGGAATAGGGCATTTCCAGCAGAGGTCTGAGTTTAAAAACTAAGGCTGGCTGGAACCTCTGAGGATAATCACAGCTGTCTGTCCCACCCTCAGTAAGCATGGGGTGGGGTGTAAACCCTTAGGGGAAGACTAGGTTAGGGCAGGAACCCTCCTGACCCACCCCTCTTTGCTCTAGGCCACCTTATAAAGGCTAGTAACAACGCTCCTTTTCATTCTAGATTACTGCTTGTCTGACACACAGATATGACTGCGATTAAGTGTTAGCTCTCACATCTGTGGAAATTTTGGTAGTTCACTGATTGATAGGTAAGACTGGCCAGAAAACTTTTAGAAAAAAAGTCATTTGTCATTCCTGTTCTGTTACCCATGAACAGCTCTGCTCTTAAGGGCAGGAAGCATGGTCCAGCCCTATCCTGGAAAGACACACAAAGCTCAATCCCTGAGCTGTGCTTATGCAGTACTATAGTGACCAGTAAGCTGAGTGTATTTGCTTCACTCCTAGCCTTTAAAAAATCTTGAGGAATGCTTTGTTGAACCTAATGCTTCAAAAAAGGAAAAAAAAATGTTAAAGTTTATTTCTAAGAAATGTAGACTATTGCCGTTTTGATTATTAAACCTCAATCTATTGTAACTATAAATCCCTCCAGGGTCTCCATCCATTCAGAAGAAGCCAAAGGAGAATTTCTTGGGAAGGAACTAGGGATCGCTCTAGGTGATCACCAGAAGACATAAGGCTTCCCCTTGCCCTTTCGCAAAAGCGGAGCTGTAGCGGCGGTTCCTGTCCATTAACAGATGTTACTGCCACTCTGGCTTTTAAAAGTGACAGGGAACAGGGCTTTTATTCAGGACTTTGGTCGTTACTCTGCATATGGAGTGTAAAACCCCTCTAATAAATTAGATCTAGTTTCTTAAATAAAAACGGCTACATAAAATTATTTATATATTCTTTTTTTTTCTTCCAGTTAACAGTCGTTTAGTCTTAGGTGCATGGACCAAACCCAACACAACCTTGCCCTTACTTCCCAGCACACATTCCTGAACGTAGCTTCCCTCCTCCACTGAGCGCTTCCGCAAGCAGGGAGGCTAGTGCAGCAGCAGTGAGGAACCAAGGCACAGGCACAGCTGGGGTAAGCTGAGTTGTGTGGGATAGGCTGCCACGGACCAGGTGGAGTCACGGAACCCTGCCCCCACCTTACGCGGGGGTGGGGGGTCCCGATCACCCTCAAGTTCTCCCATCCCTTAGTTAGATCTTTTAAAGGCACATCCAGAAATATTGCAACTGGGGGCTGGGGTAAGCTACACACAGTTGCTACACAAGGGTTAAGGGGCTGGAAGACTCCATGGCACAGAGCAAGGAGGCTATCTTTGCCTCCGCCCAGCGGGAGAGGGAGGCAGTTGAAGGGGAGGGGACTCCTGGAATCCAGCCTGCTTTGGTGGAGGCCCAGAGAGGGGCCAGCAACAGGAAAGACCAGGGCTGTGTGGTCATAATGCACATACTTCACGGATCTTTGGTGCTTGTGTAGCAGCATCTTGCTTACGTACAAAGGCTTCTGTAGCCAGCAAAGCTGGGAAAAATATGCTCCCGCACACAGTCGCTGGCCTGCTTCCTCTCCCAATACTGACTGTCTCCTGCATGAGGGCACAAAGCATATGTAGTAAGTCTGAACTGCAGTGAATATGCAAAGAGAGTTTAGAAAAGATTTCCTGCAGACAAACTTGAGATCTCCAGTTCTCTTGAGGATCATGAAAAACTCAGCCCGAGCCCTACCCAAGTTTTGCCCCTTGGTTTTCCATACAGACGAGAAAAATCCTAGGTTTTCTTCCCAGATAGGAAGGGAATACTGGAAGAATCTCTGAGGGCAGAAGTTCAAGGACCCAGGCAGCTGCCCACCTTACAGGCCCCTGGGCTCCAGGACCAGCCAGTTCTCAGTGACCATCTGCACATCCTGGCCGCTCAGAGGCTCCCGCAGCCTCACCTTCACCTCGAGCTTGCCCCCAGTGGGCTTCCTTCCGTCCAGGACCTGTGAAGACCACAGAAAGAGAGAGAGAAATGGTAACTGAGAGGGGGCAAGGGCTGGGAGCAGACAGCTCCCTAGGATCATAGGTCAAGAAAGGAAGGAGCTCAAGTGTCCTGCAGCATCAACACAGGAGTCTCCATTTCATAACAACCCTGCACTCCTGCTTTTTGGTGGTTTTAGGTTAAGTCTTATAAAAAGTAACATGTAAATCCGAACAAGGATCAATGCTCTGAAGGGGAGATGAGAAACCCAGAGCTCTGCCCAGTTTCCCCATGGCAACTCCTGGAAAAAAACGCTCTGGCTTCAAGCTACGGCCTGAAAACCACTAGGCCCAAGCCCATACTTCACAGATGGCCCAGAAAGAAGTGAACGGTAAGGTTACACAGCCACTATGTGGCAAGGCTAGAACTAGAACCCAGGCCAAGAGTTTCTTTGCACCCACTACGCTGCTTCCCTCCTTCGAGGCAGGAGCCTGGGCAGCTGGAGCACAAAGCAGTGCTACAGGTTCAAGAAGCCCGCCCACCCGCCTGCAGTGGGGCCAATACAGAGCAGGCCCTGCGTAAGAACGTCTCCCCCAAGACAGGCAGGGAGTGGGGGCAGGCATGTGTAGTGGGAAAAGCCCCAGCCTACAAAGGCATCAGCAAGGATCTGGGCCGAGGCCTGCCAGGGGCACGATACATGCACTTATGGAACACCCTTCTTGCTGGACCTTTGTTTCCTCACCTGTCAGAGACAAGCTCTCAGAGCCCCTGCCTGTGAAATTCAGTGAGTTCACAGAAGTTTAAGGAGCTGTCCGGAGCCAATTCCTAAGCACAGATCAGCTGCATTCTGGGGGGTCCCCAATCTGGAGCCACTTACCAGCTTCATGCCGGGAGCTTGTTCTACATCATCATGCTGCTAGACCACTGCCCCAACCACAACTCTGCCCCCCCAAAACCTGGGAATGTGCCCATGCCAAGTTGACAGCAATGATCAGACCCCTCAAAAGCCCTCTTAATCCACCATCCGTGGGAATTCAGGTGACTCAGTGTTGTGGAAAGAGTATCACTGCTTCCTGTCCAGTGATGTCAGACACTGTCAATCTTTTCATTTGTGGAATGGGAGTAGCACCTAGTCTACAGCACATTTATGGATGTCTCATAATGAATGGGCACCACAAACCTACAACAGGGACTGCTGTTCCATGAATGTTGGCTCTTACTTGCCAAGTCTTATGGTTTGCCCATCCTACCTCCACAATCTCTCTGATCTCACACTCATTCTCCAGCCGCTCCAGCTTCAGGTGGGCTGTGCCAACCAGCTTGTCACTTCTGAAGAAGGATCTGGGGAACCAAGAATCAGCAGAGGATTGGACCGGGAAGAGCAGGGAAGGTAGAATTGAGCCAGCTGGGCCCACTGCAAGAAAACTGAGGAGCAGCAGGGGCAGAAACAGAAGCTATTCCTTCCTCCCAGCCCATCTTGGCGGTGTAACTGACCAGGGCCTCACCCTTTGTGGAAGATTTCAAACTTGATTCCTTTGCTTTGGATCACCCTTCTGAAACCCCGGTGGTTTCGGTTGATGTTTAGTTTGAAGAGCTGATCAAATTCTGCAAGAATGGGAGAAGACAAGAAGTGGCTTGGGCTCCCAAGGATTTCCTGAGGAAGTAGAAACGGGCCCACAGCTGGCCTCCCGTCTCTCTGCCTGCAATTCAGAGTCACTGCCACCAGAGGGCGGTAGAGGTTCTGGGTCCTGGCCTTGGAAGTCCACACAGACAATTTTTGTGCTCTTGACACAGATTCTACCAAAAAGGGAGGGACTTGGATTCAAGTCCCATTTCCACCACCTCCTTGCTATGGGGCCCGAGGCAAGTCCCTCTGCCTCTCTGAGCCTCAGTTTCCCCAACTGCCTTACCTTCCAAGTTGAGTTAACCAACTATGATAACAGACCTGAAAGCACTCTGAAAACAAAAGTGCTGCATACATATATCGGAGCGAGCGGGAGGAGAAAGCGGTCCTCACCTGGAGAGTTTGTGTTCTTCACCACAGCTGTTTTGCTTTTTTGAGCCTGGTCCTAAAGCAGTAAGATGGGAAAAGTCAGAATAGCTTAAAAAAGAGCTCTATAGGGTGAAGAGCTCTAGGCTAAGTCAGTGTTGAGGGATGTGACTGCCCCCTGTAGGGAAGGCACCCAAGGGTCTTCAAACCCCTCCCAGTAGCCAGACCTCCCAGGGAATGCAGAGAAATTGAGCACATCTTGGAATGGAAGATAGGGTTCAGGGGATCCTACCTCTACCTGAACCTCACCGAGTTAGGGTAGTGGAACTCAAACCGCACAAAAGCATCCAAGTCATCAGGAGTCACCCCTGTGAAGGAGAAAGGGGATCCAGGGTCAGAAGGAGGAGCCAGAAGCCCAGTGCCTGGAGCCAGTGCCTCTCTATTGGCCAGGGGTCAAGTGTGTGGGCAAGAGCCTGGAGTAGACGAGGCCCTAGGACTACCTGAAGGGGCCGGGAGGTTCATTCCCCGGACAATGATCAGATGCATTTCTGTGCTGTTGAGTTCTGAGAAGATCCTATAGCCAAGAAGCAAGGAGAAAGAACAAAGTGAAGGAGAATAGTTGGAAAAGTTCCCCTCTTCCAGTGCCTGCTTGCCTGCCTGTCTCGCTGGGAGGTGGTCAGGAGAGTAGGCCCTGGGAAGCAAAGCTTGTCTGGGCGAGCAGCGGCAGAGCTGGTACACAGACCTCAGCCCTACGTGACCCCCAGTCCAGAGTTCCTTCCACAGCCACCGCAGCTCTGAGCTGCTCCCAGGCAGGCAACCACAGCCCACTCCTCCCCAACCCTAATGCCTATGGCAGGGCCAAGCCCGGAAGCCTCACTAAAAGGGCCTAACTCGCCAGTGTCTTGTCCTATCCCTGCACGAAGCCACTGTTTCCCTTAGGCTTTGGCACCTCACAGTCTGGAATGTCTTCAACTCAAAGTGATGGCTGGGAGGGTCAAGGCCCTGGGCCTGGGCCAGCTGCAGGATCTCAAGCTGCTTCTTGCGGTCCTGAGCGAGATTCTCAAACCTGACAGGGATGGGTGGGCACATCAGCATGGCAGGGCTCATTTTCTTCTTTTCTCCTCCCCACCCAGTAAGCCCCAGCCGCAGGTCTGGCATTTACCTGGTAGTCTCAGCCACATTGCCCTGGTGCATGAACTGCTTGGAGAATAGCAGACACTTCTGAAAATAAGGACCCAGAGTGACTCCAGAGCCCACAGTAGGACTGTCAAGGTTGGCATGTGAGGCCTGACTTCTGAAAGCTCCAACCTTCTTCAGTAGCCTCACCCCTCCTACCCCCAACACATACTCCAAGGCCACTGTTCCCAAGCTCCATCACACTTTTCTGCCTAAGTTTTTGCTGTTTTCTTTCCTGAAGATAGCCATTCCCCAAAATTCACTTAGGTTTTGAGGGAAGAAGAGGAGTTTGCTAACAGAAACACCACTTCAGAAGCAGACTTAAAGACAGCAGTTCGGACAGATATACACATACAGAAATATACACACACATCCATCTCCCTTTGCACTTCTTTCTTGCTCCCATCTTCAAAGTACTTTCCCCATGGTCACAACAGCTAAGTAGAAGAGCTGGGATTTGAATCCAGGCCTCTTTGACCTGAGCCCCACACCTTTCCCTGAAGGGCCTGTGGGCACAGAAAGGGGAAAACAGAGAAGCAGTCCACTGACCTCATGTTGCTCCAGAAGCATTTTTTGTAGCTGGGCATACACCTCCTCAGCCTTCTGGGAGAGTCGCAGGTCCTCATGGTGAATGAGGATAAAGTCACCCTCCTCATCCGTCAAGGGTGAAGGCACCTGCCCGGGTCACACGGCCCCTCAGGGGCCCCAAGAGTCAGATTATTCCTCTACTGAGCCTAACAAATGCAGAATCCAAACTAAATGTTTCTCCAGTGTCTGCTAACCTCCAGTGATGGGAACTCACTGCCTCCCGTTCTATCCCAGGCTGCCGCAATGCTCTGCTTTCCACTAGCCTTGCCCTGCCTTGTCATCTCTGACCACAAGCAGCCCACCTGGCCTTCCCTGGCCTCTCTTGGGGCCATGGGGTAGAGTGGCGTAAGGAACAAGCTCTTTCCCAGGTGTCACCCTATCCTAGCTGCATCCCATCCCCTCCAAGCAGCTGCTTTGTCCCCAGCCCTGCCCAGCCTGCCAATGCCACCTCTGCCTGAGAAGTCCTGCTGCTCAACGAGGTGAGACTCACCTTGGAGAGATCCACAGGTCGGCCAGCTCGCACCTGGGTGATCTGAGCCTCAAGGCATTTGGCCACCCGCAGATGGGCTTTGGCCTGCTCCAGGTCCTGGCCACGCTTGGCCTGCAGGGCTGCCCGCTGGTACTGCAGTTTCCGTGCCTCTAGCAATACCAGCTGCTCCCGTGCTGAAGGACGAGGGACAATGGTTAGAGCCAGGCCTGCCCCTCACTGGATCCTTCACTCCTCCATCTCTCTTCTCCCCAGCTCACCAGAGGGGCTCAGCGACTCCTTAGAGCTCGAGGCCTTGGATTCAGGCAGGGCCCGGAACGAAGGGACCACAGGTTTCGCTGGCTTCTTGGCCACTGGGGCCTGGGCTGGAGGCTCATCCTGCAGGTGCCCAGGAAGCTGTCACAGGGGATCTGTTCCCCACTTGGGCTGGGGCAGCTCCCAGACCTGGGCTCTCTTCCTAATGCTGCACTAACTTGCACTAACTAACCAACCAAATGAATGGTTTCCCCTCATGGGCCCTAGAGAATCGCAGAGCTGGAAGCAGCCTCAAAACCTTCCCAGTAGGAAACAGCAGGGTAATGGGAACTGAACCTGGGCCCTGGAGTTAGAAAGACGCTGGTTTGAATCTAGCTCTGCTAACTCCTAGTTGGGTGCACTCAGCCAAGTTTTTTCTCAGTAAAACAGAAGAAAGCATACCTACCTCGCCGGACTTGTTAGTATGGCCAACAAGAGGGTCTGGGTTTATCTCTCATCTGCTATTTTCCCCCCACCAAGCCCTGGAGTCTCAGGCCCGCAGCCAAACCTCATCCTCATTTTCCTCTGCCGGGGCTGTCTCCTCCACGGAAGCCAGTTTCTGGGCAGCTGCTAGAGTAGCTGCCACTGCATCCTCCTCAGTGCCTGTAGTGGGCTCCAGGCCGGGAATGGGGGGGAATCCTGTGGAAGACAGCCACAGCTGGCAGAGGGGCAGGACAGCCTTGGGGAAGCACTAGGCTGCTGGGAGCCTTAGCTGGGTCTTCCTGGCCATGGCTAGGATGGATGGCTCCCATAGAGTAGAGGCAGATACGTGAGAAAACATTTCCCCCTCCTCCTTTCTTGCTCAGAGACCTCCTCATAAAGCCCCTAGGCCAAGCCCCACTCACCTGGAGGAACAGGCAACTCAGCAAAGTCAACTCTCCGTCCTGCCCGGTGTGCTCGAATGGCATCTTGGTATTGCTGCAAGGGATGGAAGGGGCTTACCGGTGGGCAGCGGTCTGCAGGCCCCACACAGGGGGAGGAAGACTGAAAGCAGCCCCAAAGGGAAAAAGAGCCCCGGAGGCAGCAGGAACTCCAGAAACAGAAACAGAGAGAGGGAGACTCAAAGACCAAGGCTCGCTGCAGCAACAGAGCAGCCGGCCAGGGAGACAGGCTGACACGGGGCAGGGGTGGTAGCTGCGGGCCCACCTTGGCAATGCGCTCATGCATCCGTGCCTTGCGCTCGTTCCCACTGCCCCGGGCCTGGATGCCTGCCTCATGGTACTTGTTCAGTCTCTGCTGCAGGGCATCCAGCACCGTCTGTGGCTCAGCAGGGACCACTTGAAAGAAGAAAAGAGATGGCATCAGTTCTGCTGCCTCTCCCCAGGTCCCCACGCCATGGTCCCACTATCCCATCCTACCTGGGGCTGCCGGAGTGTCAGAGGCCATCAATGGCTGCACTCGTTCCACTGCTGGGGGTACAACTGAGGGTGCTGTGAGAGCCTCGGAAGCCTTTGGAAGGGGCTTCAGATCTGGGGACCCAGAGAAGAGGTGGAGGTGGAGGTGGAGGTGGAGGTGCTTGGCCAGTCCCGGCCCTGAAACTCCCCAATCCCAGCCTGAGCAGGCCCCACCCCACCGTCCCCATACTGACCCTCCAGAGCCGGGGGCATGGCACTCAGGTCCACAGGCTGCCCCTTCTCCAGGGCCTCCAGGACTGCACCAAACCTCTACAGTAGGAAAAGCAGGTGTGGGCATTAGCCAGAGAACCCCTGCGCTGAAAAAACTCCCCCCCTCAGACCAGTCTCACTCAAGCTCAGTCTACACGTGTGACCTTGAGCAGGTCACTGCCCCTATCTGTGAAACAAGGGATTGGACACAGGGCCTCTGAGTCAGATGTCATACCTTCCCGATCCTCATGAGCTCTCGGGCATGGTCTAGGTCTCCAGCCCGCTTGGCATTCAGGGCAGCCAATTTGTACTCTCTCTGTCGAGCCGACAACAGGGCCTGTGGGTCTGGGTCTGAATCGGGTGTGGCAAAAATGCCAGGACTGCCCAAGAGGCTTGTCTCTGGCTGGGAGGGCTTGTCTATTAAGAAACAAAAAGCCCGCAGAAGGGGCAAGAGGGTCAAAGAAGGTGGTGCACACTTTGGGTTCCCAGTGCCTACAGGTCTGGTTGGCCTGAGGACCTTTCAGGGCAGGTGCAACAGACAGTGTGGCAGGATGGGGAGGCAGGCCATGGGCTCGGACTTTGCAGATGAGAACAGGACGTGGAATGTCTCCAGATACCTGACTCCATGGTGAAGGGAGCCGGGGCATCTGCCTCAGGGTTCCTGTCAGTTGTTTCCTGGGGGGCCGGCTGTCTCTTGCCCAAGGCCACTGGAGGTGGAATCTCATCCTCACTGATCTTCCTGCCTTTCCTCACAGCAGCCAGCTGAGCCTCCAGAGTCTGAGGGAGAGAACCAGAAGCCCAGCCCCCATCTCAGCCTGAACCCTACTTGAAGACAGGCCAGGAATCCTTCACCTTCACAAGGCTAGTGGGGAAGCCTCCCCTCTTGCTGCTTTACCCATTGCCCCCAGCCCCACTCCTCCCAGCCCTGCTCTCTGGCTAGGCCTAACCCACCTTCAGGCCACGCTCACAGCGCCTGGCTTTGGCTGCTTCACCTGCCTCCTTGGCACTGGCCGCAGCCTCCCGGTAGTTGTGGATCCGATCCTCCAGTAGAGCCTGCAGCCCCCGAGGCCCTCCAGCCTGTAGATACTTCAGCTCAGGGCATGGCCACTCCAGGGCCAGCTAGGCCCTTGCTGCTCCCTCCCTGCAAGGAAGCTGCCCCAGAAAATGGAGCTCTTGGGTTCAAGGAGAAGGAAGAGCCTAAAAGCCTCAAGGTGGGAGGCAAAGACTCACTGGACAGGCCAGAGGCCATGTCAGAGGAAAACACAGAGGCCTAGACAATCTGTGGAGGCCAGGAAATGGCTGTAGGGGGGGGCTCTGGGAGAACAGAGAGGCCTTTGAGGCTGGCCAGCCACCAAGCAGTTTCTCATGCTCTGTCTCTGCTTGGGGCAGCTGCGGGAGGAGGACCCTGGAAAGGGTTACTGCAGCCTTCCTACGCAAGCCATGCTACATGCATGTCACACACAGACACGTAGGGGAGGTGCACAGGATCCCTCCAGAACCTACCTGAGCTGCTGGGACTGAAGCTGTTAGTAGAGCTGTCTGCCCTGGAGCTTCAATGTTTTCCTGTCCCTTCTCTTCAGAGCCACCTGGGTTAGCTGTCTTATCACCATCCAGGGGCCCAGCCTCCTCATCTGCACCCAGGACCTCCTGCAGCTCAGTCTGGGGAGATACAAGTCTCAGGAGCTTGGGAACCTCAGGGCCCTACCCATGACAGTGTATGAGAATAAAGGACCCTCTCCGCCAGCAGTATTACCCAGCATCAGTCATTGTGCCTACCACTGTGTCCTCTAAACCAAAACACTCCTTTAATCTGACCAAGAAGAGCCTTCAAAACAGTAAAGACTCCAAATTTGAAAATCTCTGCATGCATAGCTCAGACCAGCCATCAAAAGAGACTAGTCTCACACTGTAGTTAGGAAAATGGGCCCAAGAAGGGCCAGGCACTCACTCAACCTCAGAAGACACACAGAGACAAACCCCAGGCCTCCTGCACAGGCTTGATCACAGAGCCCTCAGACACCAGCGTGGCAGACGCACCAGCAAGTCTGCATCCTCCTCCAGCCCTTCCTCCTCCTCTTCCTCCACATCCCGCATACAGTCTGCAGCCAACTTCTCGATGTGGGCCATGGGCAGGGGGGCTGAGGGAAGAGGGTCACAGAGGGTCAGGGCAGTCAGAAAAGGTTCATGAGGAGGGTCTTCAATCCACTGTGCCAGCAAGACACACCCAGATAGAATCCTTCTTCCCTTCCACAGCCAAAGTCCCACCTGGAAAATTCCTGCTCTTCCTTTATGACCCAGCTCAAAAGACCCTCAGCTGGGAAAGCTTCCTGGGAATTCGCCCTTCTTGGCATTTTTATTGTTATAGTTGTTCACAGACATGTCCATCCATTCCCCCAACTGCACATTTGGCATATGTAAAGATTTTTAACGTCCACTGAAGCTTCACAATCATTTTGCAAGATAGGTAATATTATCCCCTTTTTATATGAGTGAACTGTTAATTTTCCTCACATTGCAATCCTAGTATGTGGCAGAGCCCAGATTCAAACCCAGGCCCCAACCTAACTCGAAAGAGGGACTGGACTGAGAGAAGTAAGGGCCGTGGGTCTCCCAGACCAGTGCTGGACGCCCTTTCCAGGTCCTCCCATCGTCCTCATCTCAGGGGCACATGGGATGGGGGGTTGTTCTCCCTAAAAGAAAGGTTTAGACCCTCAGACCCTCCCAGGCTCAGGTCTCTGTCCTCTTCCAGGCTGGGGAGAGAGATTCCACTTATTCATTCAACACAATTTCTGTACACTTACTATGTGCTCAGTGCAGTCTGTGCTGAGCTCCTCAACTATACTGGGCCCTGGCTACGGCTAAGATAGAGGTGAGTCAGTCTGAGAATCAGACTGCTGACTGTCCATAATGGGGAGAGGGACAGTCAGAGAAGGAGTGAGCTTCCCATCACACAGGTGTATGTGCAGGGCAAGACAGCCTCTTGGTGGGAGGGCTGCAGAAGGATGGATATCCGAAGGACCAGGTGATCTAACTGGCTCCTCCCAGCCGTGAGGAAAGAACCCTCTCTACCACCTGCCTGAACCCTTCTGGTCCCAGCAACGAGTCAGCGTAGTGCCACAAACTCACCCTGCCCCTTGGGTGTTGGCTTCCTGCCTGCAGCCCCTGCTTCCCCAGTGAGGGCCAGCAGTTCAGCCTCCAGGTCTCCGTCATCTTCAGTCTCCTCCATCCCCAGCAGCATGTCCTCAGGGCTGAACTCCACAAAGAGTCCCAGCTGAGAGCAGAGAAGGGTCCTTAGGAACCACACAATGAGGACCAGTCCCAGAGCCAATCTTAGGCGGTCAGTGGCTCCTTCATTATGTGTGAGGCCCAGTGTGCAGACAGGCAAACTGAGGCTTGCAACATTAGCGTTTGGGACAATTATCTCCCTAGTGACTGTGAAGAACCCAGTAAGACTGCATTACCGTTATTACTCACAGCATAAGAGCACCAGCTATCAGGCTCTGTACTTAGCATTCTACATGACTATCTTTGTTAAGTCTCACAATCCTGAGACATAGGTCCTATTTTTATTTTATTTTATTTTAAATTGTGGTAAAACACATGTAACGGGTGTCTGGCTGGCTCAGCTGGAAGAGCTTGTGACTCTTAATCTTGGGGTTGTGAGTTCGAGCCCCACACTGGGTGTAGGGATTACTTAAAAATAAATAGACTTTGAGGGACGCCTGGGAGGATCAGTCAGTTAAGCATCTGCCTTCGGCTCAGGTCGTGGTCCCAAGGTCCTGGGATCGAGCCCCACATCAGGCTCCCTGCTCAGTGGGGGGTCTGCTTCTCCTTCTCCCTCTGCAACACCCGCCCCCCCCACCGCTTGTGCTCTCTCTCAAATGAATAAGTAAAATCTTAAAAAAATAAAAACACATGTAACATAAAAATTACCACCTTAACCATTTTTTAAAAGTAAGCTCTATGTCCAATATGGGGCTTGAACTCCAAGAGTTGCATGCTCTACCGAATGAGCCAGCCAGGCGCCCCTCGACTTAACCATTTTTAAGTGTACAGTTCAGTGGCATTAAGTACATTCACCCTGCTGTGCTATCACCGCCACCATCCACCCGCAGAGCTCTTTTCATCTTACTCAACAACCCCCCCTCCCCCCCGTCAACCAACATTCTACTTTCTGTCTCTACGAATTTGACTACTCTAGGAAAAGGTAGCCCTATTTCCATCTCCGTGCTCAGATGAAACTGAAACAGGCTTGTAAGTGCCAGAGCTAGAATTTAAAATAAAGGTCTTGTGATTTCAGTCTATGCTCTTTATCCCACAACCTCCCTTACCCACCTCTTTTAAGACAATAAAAATGGACTAAGAAGTTTCAGAACTTGGGCCCAGAAGAAGTAAAGGGAACAAATTAGAGGACAGACTTCTCAGTCTCCCACCCGGGCCACAGCCCTGTGTTCCTAAGCGGTAAAACTCTTCCAGTGGCCACAGTTCTCAAGCCCGGGCATCCTTGGCTGGCAAGCAAAATCATGACCCTAAAAGAGAAACCCATGACAGTGACGACACCCCATCAGAACACCCTAAATTTGGTGGCTCCTGAACCCTCCAGACCACTCATATGGAGATGGCCATGGCAGGAGGATGCCTGGGTTGGAACACAACAGAGTTCAGGCCTCATCTCACACATGTGGGTAGCAGGGACTAGTCCGAGGGTCTCTAACAGCTCTGCCAACTCCAGGAGGAACTGCTCAAAGTCTCCAGACTAATGGGGAAACTAAACAGGTGAACCTGTTTGCCCAAGCCGTCTAGAGACCCCCTCAGACTGGCCCAGGAGTGAAGGGGGCTATATCCATACCTGCTTTGCAGCTGCCACACCCTGGCCACTGGCCTGAGGTTTCCGAGGTCTTGGCCCTGGCATCTTGACAGCCTAGATACCTGTCTGCTGGGGAGGGGAAGAGACTCAGACTGGAGCAGCCTACAGAGCTCCACCCCCAATAGTGCTGCCTGTGGTAGGGTGTGGTTAGTAAACTCCCAAACCAGAGGAAAAAAACAACCTTTAACACCAAAGGATGAAATACTGTCTCTGGAATCACAGCAAGCAACATGGGCCATGGAAGGGATGGGGCCCACCTGTTAATGGGTTTAAGTGGAGAGTGTGGACACATAGTTAAGAACTTACTGAACTGACTGACCAATTTGGATTAAACCCAAGAGGCTGAGTGAGGGGGAGGGGCATAGGAAGGTGGATTCAGGGACCAGGTGGGTGCAAGACTGGATAGGATTCAGAAAGGCTCTAAACCTGTGTTGTCAAACATGGTAGCCATATGTGACGATTTAACTTTAAACTGAAATCTAAAATCCAGTTCCTCAACTAGTGGCTACCACTGGCCCGCTGAACATTTTCATCACCACACAAAGTCCTACTGGCCTGTTCTGCTCCAGAGAAAGCTGAGTCAGCATTCTGATTCAAAGATCTCACAACCTTTCACAGGACCTACTACGTGAAAGAACCTGTGCCGGGCACTGCAAGAGCAGGAATGAATGTGACATGGTCTCAGCCCTCAAAGAGCATACACGGTGGAGGGAGCCTCGGCAATGGACAAAAACCACACAGGGCTGTTCCAGGGGCCCTGGATTCCCAGGAGCGGCCACTTATCCAGCACAGAAAGAAAAGGCTTCGTGGAGAAAGTGATGCTTGTGCTGAGTCATGAAAAAGTTGGGGGTAAGGAAGGGGTACGGAATTTCAGAGGGAACACCTGATAATGGTTCCGAGGTGAGAAACAGCTTGATCTGCACAAGCTAAAGACGTGGGATTACTGGGGCATAAAGTGTGAGGCAAGAAATAGTACAAGAGAAGCTGAAAATCTGTACAGGTGGCAAAACGGAAAATCCTTTAAGCCTAAAGGACTCTGGGCACGGTCCTGAGGGCACAGGACGTGACGGGACCAGGTCGGAGATTCAGAAACCTCCCTCCGGCTGCAGAGGGCAAGAGGTAGGAGAGTGGGGGCTCGAAGCCTTCTCGGTACCGAGCATCTCGCAACGGTCCCCGCGAAGTGGTGAGCGGAGGGGAGCGCGGGGGTGGCGTCGGGGATGGAGAGAAACAGATGGATTCCCCACTGAGAGGGGTAAAATCAACAGGGCTCCGAGGTTAACTGGCTGTGGGCGCACGGGAGGGGGCGCTCAGGGTGACTCCAGCCGGCAGAGTTCGCTGACTTAGGTGAATGGCCGGCCGTCACCTGAGCCGGGGGCTCGGAATGAGCGGACACCGGGAAGAGACGAGGTCAGTCAGGCCGAGTCTGCGGCTCCGGGGCATCGGACTGGGAGCGTCGGTGCTGGGCCCGGACTCGGGAGAGAAGAGGACAGCGGGAGGGCGCAGGGGAGGCGAAGCCGAGGGACCCCACTCCCGCGCGGCAGGACGCTCAGCCCTGCCCTGCCCCAGCGCCTCCATCTCCCCCGCAGCCCTGTATTTCCCCTCGCCGGGGGATGGGTACGCTGCATACCTCACGCCGGATCCGAAACCAGCCTGGGCCTGATCGCGCCCGGCACCGCCCAGCGCTCCCGCGGCCCCCGGGCGGCAGCGGCGGCGGCGGCTGCGGCCGTGACAGGAAGCGACCCTGCGGGAGACTGCTCGCGCCCCAACACGTGACTCTACGGCCTGTAAGACGCACACTACGCATGCGCAAAGCGAGGTGGGCGTGGCGTCCCAACAGGTGACTCTAAGGGTGAGGTTTTCAGCGCGCAGGCGCCTTTGGGCAGGTAGCGCGACCCTCGCCGAGAGGGTAGTTGGGCGGTTTTGGGGTGTGCCGCTGCTGGCGCAAATGCAGTAGGTGCGTCCCCTGCCCCTGCATTTACAACCAACCCGCCAAGCTTCCTCCCGTAATCCCAGTACGATACTCCTGGGCTCACACTCGCCCCGCCCCATCGGCGTGGGGGCGGGCCTGGAGTAGGCTCTGCCCCAGAGGAAGGGCTTACCTATTTTCCCCCTTCATCGAGATTTTCTTTGTAATTGAGTCTAGAGAAATGAGAGTGGGGCTCACCATTTCTTTCTTATTCATTCAGCAGCTGAATGTATCTTTTCTAGTCAGAAGGCGGGTTGAATACCTAAGACAGGCACTGTTCATGGCACCTCTTCATGAAGTCACTTCAGACAGTTTAACACGAAGAGATTAGAACGATGAAATGGCGGGTGGAGGGGCGGTACAGAGAATCTTCACCTGAAACAAACCCAGCAACGCACTCCCTAAACTTTTAAATTATTATTCTTTTGCGGTTTGTAGTTAGCAGTTTCAAAAATCTTCCATTTTTCTTGGACAAAAACTTTTTGATCTTACTCCTTTGAGTCATTTTCCAAAGAGGCCGTCTTTAACCATTTGCAATTGAAGATTCGCTCTTATATTTCTTCTCATTAATACGTTTTATGAAATATTTAATATATACAGAGATATACAGTATCTCATATTTGCTTGAATGCAAGCAAACAGACATTTTCTGTTTGTTATCCAAGTTATCTTTGGTGTTTAGGGCACTGCATGGTACATGGTAGGTACTCAATAAATACTTCCTATTTTTTGTGTGAAGGGACATAAATACATGGGTATCTACCACAAATTTAAGAAAAAAAACAGTACAATACAGTTGAAGCCACCCTATGCCTCTCATGTTGCAACCCTTTCCCCAAAGAGGTATCTACTCTCTTGAATTTGGTGTTTTGTTTTAAGATTTTACTTATTTGTTTGACAGAGAGAGACAGCAAGAGCGAACACAAGCAGGGGGAGTGGGAGAGGGAGAAGCAGGCTTCCCGCCGAGCAGGACCTGGGATCATGACCTGAGCTGAAGGTGGACGCTTAACGCCTGAGCCACCCAGGTGCCCTGAATTTGGTGTTTTATTTCTGCTATGTATGTATAGATCCTTAAGCAATCTACAGCACTTTTTTTTGGCAAGCTTTAACATTGTATCATTGGTATCAGTACATCTATTCTTCAACTTCTTTTTCAACTCTATTTGTAAGCTTCGTTTACATCAATACTATAGCTATTTTTCACTTCTCTGTGGTATTTCAAAGTATGAAAATAATTCACTTTCCCAAAGGCTTGCCATTATAGTGCTATGAACATTCTTGTACACAACTCCTGGGGTACAATGTGTTTCTCTAGGGTATATACCTAGGAGTGGGATTGCTGTCTCATAGGGTTTCTGCATTTTCCAGATTAAATATTACCAAATCATCTCCAAAGTAGTTTGTTTACATTCCTATCAGTGGGGCATTTGGGTTCCAGTTGTTCCCTATGGTCCTAGAAAGGTTTTCTAATACATGTGAAAGGGGTTTGACTTGCAGGCCTCATTTACTATGTTTCCATTTTGTTGATCATTTCATGTGTCTTATTCTGTAGATGACTTATTCACTCATTTTTCCTTTTTATTAATTGAATAATTCTTTACTCTGATACTGATCATCTATTATATGCAGTTATATATATTTTTCTGAATTATTTGCAGATGTTCTATTTCACTCATAAGTATTTCAAGAACAACATTCTCCTATATAACCACAATAACTGACCATTTACAAAGTTTAGCATTTACATAAAACTTACATATTTAGTCCCTAATAATGTTTATAATTTTTGTATCTCTAAGTCCACGACCCAGTCAAGATTCACACAGTGCATTTAGCTATTTAGGTCTGTTTCTCTATTCTCCTTTAGTTTAGAAGAGTTCCTCCCTGGTTTTTTGGGCTTTTATGATACCGATGTTTTTGAAGAGGAACAGTTGCTTTGCATAATTTTATCTGATAATTTTCTCATCAGTAAATTCGGGTCGAACATTTCTGGCAGGACTATTACACAGGTGATGTGTTTTTCTCAGTGCCCGACATAAGGGGGCTTTGAATGTCAGTTCCACTGTTGGTTGGAAATATAAATATGAGAATTGCAGTTACACAAAAACCCTGCCAAGATTTTGACTGAAATAGATTTGTATTTAGAGATTACATCTCTTTATTAGATTTATTTCTTGTTATCTTATATTTTCTGTGCCTTCTAAGTCTTTTTTACTTAAAGATTTGTTTTTATGATAAATAGTAACTTTTTAAAAATTATATTTTCTAGCTATTTGTATGGATTATTTATCACTGGTATTATTCCCAGTTTTTTTTGTTTTTCCAAAGATTTATTTATTTCAGAGAGAGAGAAGGAGATAGAGAGCCTTAAGCAGACTCTACACTAAGCACAGAGCCCGATGCAGGGCTCGATCTCGTGACCCTGAGATCATGACCTGGGTTGAAACCAAGAGTTGGACAGTTAACCAACTGTGCCACCCAGGCTCTCCAAGCAGCAGTTCTCTTTTATAAACTAAGTTTGTTATATTCACATTGTTCAAAAGTTAAAAGATACATGACTTACAGTACGTCTTCCTCTAAAGTCTGACCATAGCCATCTAGTTCCTTACCAAAGGCCACCAATGTAACCAATTTCTTACATATTCTCCCACAACTATTTTATACAGATACACATAATTATGTGCATACCATGCTGCCGTTAAATAAATGGCAGGAACAGAAAAGCCACAATGAGGGCCTATTGTAGGAAGGATGGCTTGGTTTTTTAATCTGGTGTTTGTAATGACTGCAAACTTCTCACTCTAGAAAAATCAAATTATTTAATGGAAAATTTCAAAATATGTGACAGCCATTTCCATTCATTATGTTTTGCTACTACAATTCCATGTGCTTAGAAAGAGGAAATCAGGCCCTTTGAAAAGAGCTGATCACAGCCCTTCCCTGTGAAGCCCTTCACTCCTTCAGCGCGTACAGCACATCGTCCTGGCTGATGTTGAGCCGCACACGAAGAAGCAGGTCGTTCCTGCTGGGTTCCACGAGGAGGAGGCGGCAAGAGCTCAGGTGAGAGCACACTGCCATTGTCTCTGACATGGTGGGGTACGGGAGTCCCTCCATTCTGCACAGTGCCACATGTTGACTGTATACCTAGAAACGAAAAGCAAATCCGAGGTCAGACACCAGAAAGCGGGAGAGGAAAGGAAGGTAGTCCTGGTTCTGTACCTGATCATTTATTTCTTCTTGTAGGCAAGTCAGATGCTTCTTATCCAGGATCCTCAATACCTTGAAGGCATCAACAGGTGCCTTGCTGGGGCACAAATGCGGGGGCAGAATGCTAGTTGGGCTTTGGAATCAGAACAGGTCTGAATCCTGGTTCAACTAATCACCTAAATATGCAACCCTGGGCAAGTTATTTCACTTTTTGAGCTTTAGTTTTATCTATTAAATATACTGCCACATCCCTCATGTGTTAATGGATATATCTAGTAATTGTCACTTACACAAACAGTCCTAGTCTCCAGGGAGTGAGAGTTCCAAATGAAGATTGTCATAATTCAAGTCAAATTTTGCTACAAGGGCATTTTCCTTAGCAGATAATAGTGCACAGGTGCCAAAGCCTTGGAAAAGCACAAAGGCCCAGGGAGAATACTGCATAGAGAGGCCAGGAGGACAGTGGGAAACATGGATTCCTAAAGCGCCCCCAGGGGGCCAGGCAAGCCTGCCACACTTCCTGGTCACCATTCTCTTCATAAATCACCCCCACCCCCACCCAGGCTGGGAGCTTGTCAGGAGCAGGGATATTGACCAATTCAACTCAGGGTTCCTAGCACATCTTCCCAGTTAATGACACATTATAGATGTTCAGGAAATGTTTACAAACTAAACAGAAAGCCACTCTGCTGAAGAGCTGTCTCAGGCTCTAGGAGAACAATAACGGGCAAACCTAACTCGCAGTTTAAAACAGAATTTAAAGAAGTAAAGAAAACGTGAAAGGGGGCGCCTGGGTGGCTCAGTTGGTTAAGCGACTGCCTTCGACTCAGGTCATGATCCTGGAGTCCTGGGATCGAGTCCCACATCGGGCTCTCTGCTCGGCGGGGAGTCTGCTTCTCCCCCTGACCCTCCCCACTCTCATGCTCTCTCTATCTCATTCTCTCTCTCAAATAAATAAATAAAATCTTTAAAAAA